GCAGTGACTCTGCGCCAGTGTCGGGGCGGGGGGGGGGGAAACCCGGCATCTCGCAGCGCCGGGATCTGTTCCCTGGGGGCCCGCGCCCCGGGGGGGCTCGGAGCTGCTGTCGCAGCAGGAGCCCAACACCCCTCAGCCCGGCCAGGCTCTGCCCTGGGGCACCACTGTGGGATCCGGGGCGGGAGGGGACCAGCCCTGCATGTGGCTGGGCGGGAGGCTGTCAGGCAGGGTGAGAAATGAGACCGGGCTGGGAGGAGAGGAGGAAGACCTGGGAAAAGGGGCAGATGGAAAAATGTCTGCGCAGCCAGGAAATTACAGGGAGAGGAGACGAGCAGGTGACCCCTGAGGAGCGGGGAGAGAAAGGGAAGGAGGGGCTGAGATCACCTCAGATTTACTGCTGCCCTCTCCTGTGGTGATCTCTAACATTTAGGAAGTTATGAATATATACTGGAAATTATGTTCACAAAGACTGAAACAGGTTCCTTTCAACCAGGAGGTAACAGACCTTTCTCTCTCTGTCCGGTGATGTGCATACTGGGCATTGTACGTCTCACAATGGGGGCCTGTTTGTACACTCAGCGAAATGCTAATTGAATAGATTGTGAAATCTTCAAGAGAAGAAAATTTACACGGAATAAATAAAGAGCAGGATCCTGTTTCGAGTGAAGACAATGGTATGTGGGGGGACATTTGCGGGTGCAGAGATACAACTTGCATCTTCTGCCATGGAAACAAACTGACAGCATGACTTGTCTCATGAAAGAAAGATCACAGCCAAACCTGGCTGTAAAATGCTGGAGGAACTTTCATGGGTTTTGCTCTATAACGTGAAAGGATCTAGTTAGGTAGGTAAGTCTAGGTTCTAGAAAGCGTGTTATGATTTTACTTCATGTGAAACCATTTGTTTCCAAGACTTCTACTTGCTACCACTTGAATCTCTATCCTTGGTTAAATAAATGTTCACTTATTTTCATTAGAAATACGTCTGAGTGCCATGAGTTAAATGGCGTCGTGATCTGAGGGGTAAACTGGTAAGCTGCGATGCAGTGCTTCTTCGGGAGCAACGAATCTGTCAACATGAGGAGTGTCCAGGGGGCTGGAAAGTCCAGGGAGACATTTGGAAAGCTCAGAGGTTGGAGCGTGTCTACTCCTAACAGGACCCGGGGCATGAAAAGTGAGGTCCAGTGTGAGAACCATAAGTGGTCAGGCCTACATGGTCAAGCCAAAATTAGATGCCAGGATCTGGCTCAAAACACCAGGAACCACAGAGGAATGTGACAAGGCAGGGACCAGAAACAAAGTGTGGTCTCTCCAGCAATAGGTCAGGGATCTGCCTTGCTGCACAGAGGGCTTCCCAGTATTTCCAGGTTTAAACAGGACACCTGGATCAGAGGTCACGGGAAGAGCTGCCAGTCATCTCTCGTGTGGGCGGCACTTCCTGCAGTGACTGGTCTCCAGGATGTGCATTGCCAGCAGCTCTGTCAAGGCTGCCCGGTGGTGGCACAGAACCGCCACCCCTCCGGGACTCTGCAGACCCATATTCCTGTCCCAGTAATTTTCATGCACCAGCCCACATCACCTTCTCCCAAGGAAGGAACATCCCATTGTCTCCTATCCAATGAGCCCCCCCAACTGTCACACACTTCATGCATTTGGGAAGTTGTTATAGCAGACCACCAGTTCTACCATAGCTAAAGTTCAACATTACATTCTGTACAAAGATCAGCTATCTGAACAGGTCTAACTTCCCCTTGCTTACTAAGAATCTTTTGAAATTTGCTGCTTATTATAGGGGTGCCGAGCAGGGCTAGTGGCCAAATATGGGGTGATTTGATGAAGAGTTTCCTGAGAGACAGCCCTCCTGAAAGCAGCTTTTCACATTATCATCTGGTTCCTATAACACGATCTTGCACAAACCTGGGGCTGAAACTATGGTTGTAATTATCCACCAAGTGATCTCAGTCCCTTTGCATTTATCTTTTCTGGTACATGGCACCCAGTGCCTCCTTGGGGAAGAGATATAGAAAAAGCTAATAACTGTAGAGGTTAGAATTTCAGATTGGCACGAGGAAAAGGGTAGACTCAGAGAGCCTGAAAGGCCCATGAAATGCAGCAAGACTAAGGGCAAGTCTACCCTACAGAACTAAGTCAACATACAGCCAACACAGTAACTAAATCGGTTTTACATGTGCGCACTACACTCCTTGTGTTGGTGGTGTGTATTCTCACCAGGAGCATTTGCACCAATTTAACTGCCAATGTGGGGCATTGTGGGAGTTTCTAAAGGCAGCAGCAGCTGACAAACAACGCGGCGTCTACACGGACACTGCGTCCACTGAACTACATAGACATAAGCGCTACGCCTCTCATGAAGGTGGAGTTATTAAGTCGGCATAATGGGCAAGTAACATTGGTGGCAACTACCTTTTAGTGTAGATGCTTACAGAGTTGGGTCAACGTAAGCTGCGTTATGTTGACTTAACTCTGCAGTGTAGACCAGGCCTAAGGCTCTTGTTATCAGTCAGAGGGTTTCCAGCAATCTACCCTCACTGTAATTCATTGGCTCAAGAGAACCTGAGCTCCACCCATGAGTTTGAGTGAGACCCCACCACTGATACCTTTCAGACAATGTGTGCTGTGCATTTTTCTTGCATCCTGTAGGAGTTCCTCTTTAAAGTTTTGCCCTCTGATATGAACATTTCTGGGTTAAGAAGCATATTTTCAAGGGCTCTAAAATCCATGTGCCGACTCTGACCTGGTTTGCTCTTAAAAGCTTTGCCAGTCCAGCTCTGTTGTTTAAGGCTGTGAAAAAGTGCACGCACACATGTACACCATCCAACATAGCTCTGCTGGCAAAGCTCAATTATAGACACAGCTATAGCGGCAAAAGTGTCCATTTTAAAAAAAAGGAAACGAAATGCTCATAAGCTACATTACTGCAGAGTTAAGGTTGCCCAGTGCTGTCTCCTGCCTTGCACCGTATGGACGGTTACTAAACTTAAATCTCTGCAAACCAGGAAAAGAAAAGTTAATGTAAACGCCACCCCTCCAATGCAACCTTAACTTTGCCCCCAACCCTTAGCCCTGCAGCTGAGAATGGTTCTGTGTGGGCGGTGCAAAGCTTAACAAACTGCCACAGGAATTCAGGTATTCAGCTCAATGCGGCAGTCACGGGAGGAAATTCTATGGTCTGTGTTATAAAGGACGTCAGAGTAAATGACCTAATATCACATCAGCCTTAAAATCTATGAACCTATAATCGATATGAGGAAAGACTAAGAGAACCTGTCAGTGTTTGTTTTGTGTTCACAGATGGGAATCCCAGCATTTCTCTGCATGCCCTCCAGCTGTGTGCACGGGGTCAGCTGTAGCTGTCACTGAATGAAGGAGGCATTGGTTGGAACAGCTGGGCAGAGCTGTGGCTGTGCTCTGAAGAGAGGTGCGTGTGAAACTTGGGGGACCAATTCTGCCTCATTTCCGTGCTGAGTGTTGTAGGCTTTGTCAGTAAAGGTGCCCAAGGGTGTGCTTGTGTCATAGGGATTGTCAGCACTCGGATAGCATATGGTCTAGTGATCTGTGAGGCTTAGTGAGGGGTAAGTGAAGGCAGTGACTCAAAAGGAAAAGTCAGGTTAAGGGCAAAAGGGTGGTAACACTGTGCAAGTCTCAGATGGTTTGCGTGCAGGAAGTTCAGTGCAGGAGTGCAGGCCAGGGGTAGGAAGCGTCTGTTTGCTATGATAGAGATGAACCCGACTATTATCTTAGCTAAGAGAAGCTGTTAGACTTTCTGTTGTACTGCTCTGTTCCCAGAGCGTTCTGTAACAGGGGAGGGCAGAGCACTAGTGTGTCACTGGCATGGAGCTACTATAAGGTGGGTGCATAACTGGTTGGAAAATCATTCCCAGAGAGTAGTTATCAGTGGTTCAGTGTCCTGCTGGAACGGCATAACGAGTGGGGTTCCGCAAGGATCAGTTCTGGGTCCAGTTCTGTTCAATATCTTCATCAACGATTTAGATAATGGCATAGAGAGTACACTTATAAAGTTTGCGGACGATACCAAACTGGGAGGGGTTCCAAGTGCTTTGGAGGATAGAATTAAAATGATCTGGACAAACTGGAGAAATGATCTGAAGTAAATAGGATGAAATTCAATAAGGACAAATGCAAAGTACTCCACTTAGGAAGGAACAATCAGTTGCACAAATACAAAGATGGGAAATGACTGCCTAGGAAGGAGTACTGCAGAAAGGGATCTGAGGGTTATAGTGGATCACAAGCTAAATATGAGTCAACAGTGTAACGGTGTTGAAAAAAAAAAAAAAAGGAAACATCATTCTGGGATGTATTAGCAGGAGTACTGTAAGCAAGACACGAGAAGTAATTCATCCACTCTACTCCGCACTGATTAGGCCTCAGCTGGAGTACTGTGTCCACTTCTGGGCACCACCTTTCAGGAAAGATGTGGACAACTTGGAGAAAGTCCAGAGAAGAAAAACAAAAATGATGAAAGGTCTAGAAAACATGACCTATGAGGGAAGATTGAAAAAATTGGGTTTGTTTAGTCTGGAGAAGAGAAGACTGAGAGGGGACATGATCACAGTTTTCAAATAAATAAAAGGTTGTTACAAGGAGGAAGGCAAAAAATTGTTCTTCTTAACCTCTGAGGATAGGACAAGAAGCAATTTGCAGCAAGGGCGGTTTAGGTTGGACATTAGGAAAAACTTCCTGTCAGGGTGGTTAAGCACTGGAATAAATTGCCTAGGGAGGTTGTGGAATCTCCATCATCGGGGATTTTTAAGAGCAGGCTGGACAAACACCTCTCAGGGATGGTCTAGATAATACTTAGTCTTTCCTTGAGTGCAGGGGACTGGACTAGATGGCCTGTTGAAGTCTCTTCCAGTTCTATGATTCTATGTTGGGATGATGTTGAAACAGGGCAGAGGTGGCATGAACCTTAACTTTTCATTTCCCCTTCTAAGAATGGAGGAAATGGGAATTCTTACCAAGCGAGGTCACATTCTCATAGTTCTCCTGCATGACGTCAGTGTAGAGGGCTCTCTGAGCGGGGTCCAGCAGAGCCCCCTCTTCCCTGGTGAAATACACAGCCACCTCCTCGAAGGTCACCGGCCCCTGAAAGAGAAAGAGTCCAACACTCAGGACCTGCTGCCCCAGTCACAACCCCACGATTCATGGGGGAGAGGAGCCAATCAAACGGAAGCTCTGAGAGAGAGACAGTCAGCAGAGTCCTATCCCCATACTGCTGAGAACAGCCATGACGCATCACGGTGAGAGAACAAAGAGAGCCACACACCTACGAGCCAGAGGCTGATACAGCCCCATGGTAGGAATCCCAAAACCCTCCTCACTGCGAGCAGCTGGATGCGAGGGGCTGGGGCATCTTCCCTACACCTCCCCGGTGGGTGCCCCCTTTCTATGTCACACCAGCCTCTGGCTCGCAGGTTGAGGGTTCAGCACTGGAAGTCCGGTCAGTTTTCCCAGCCCTTCCCAGGGGGTTGGTTTCTCTATTTCCTGTTTCACAAATTAAAGAATTTTCTCCTCCAACACCCAAGCGTTTGTTCCTAGAATCTAGGCCCAGGTTAAACGAATCCCAAAAGGTTTGTCACACTCTGTCCCCTTCCCTTTCTTCACCCAGGGTAGTCCCTGCCCCCTGCAGACCTCATTCCCCAGAAGTTGCCACCTCTTCAGCATTTACTGCCCCTCTCCCACCAGCAGGAACCCACCAGGAACCACCCCCCCCCCCCCCCAATAACCCCTACCTGAGCTGGCTCCACAGCAGCCATTTCTCTTCCCTGTCCCATGGGAGGACCGGATGAGCTGGAGCGAGACGTGGGCGTCGTTCTGCAGCCTGGCAGGGCGAGAAGGGCAGTTGTGGAGATTTCAGAACTGGCTTTACTTCATTTCACACCACAATTCCTCCAGGCTCTTTCCCTGCAGACAGAGATTGTAGATTCTGCCATGCTAGGAACATGCTCAGTCCCCATATTGCAGAACAGACCTTGCCCCTGTCCTCCACCCTCCCTCCTCCCAACCAGGACTAAACCCACCAAGACATTTTCAAACCCTCCCAGCAACAGAGTATGAATTAAACACTGGAAAAGACCAGAACCAAAGGGGGGGGGGGGCAAGGGGAATTCCCCCTGACAGAGTCCCCATGGCAGCACACTCCTGCAGCAGGGGGAACAGGGAGAGTCAGGGGCTGTTTTTTCCTCTCTCTGCTCCTCACCTTGTTCACAGGAAGGTGACCCTGTGCAGGGTTGCTGCAGTGAGTGTGCCCGGGTGGGTGTCATAAATATGAACAGAAGGGTGAACATCTTTCTGTATACAATGCTATAAAATCCCTCCTGGCCAGAGGCAACATCCTGTTACCTGTAAAGGTTAAGAAGCTGAGCAAACCTGGCTGGCACCTTACCCAAAGGACCAATAAGGGGACAAGGTACTTTCAAATCTTGGCTGGGGGGGGGAAGGCTTTTGTTTGTGCTCTTTGTTTAGGTGTTGGTTCTCTCTTGGGACTGAGAGAGGCCAGACAGAAATCCTTCTCCTCCAACCCATCCTAATCCAAGTCTCCAATATTGCAACCAGTATAGGTAAGCCAGGCAAGGAGGATTCGTTTATCTTTTGTTTTATTTGAATTTTCCCGGTGTTAAGAGGAAGGTTTATTCCTGTTTTCTGTCATTTTAAAGTTTTGCCCACAGAGGGATCCTCTGTGTTTTGAATCTGAATACACTGTAAAGTATTTTCCATCCTGATTTTACAGAGGTGACTCTCTTACCTTTTCTTTAAGTAAAATTCTTCTTTTAAGAACCTGATTGATTTTTCATTGTTCTTAAGATCCAGTGGTTTGGGTCTGCGTTCACCTGTACCAGTTGGTGATGATTATTATCAAGCCCTCCGCAGGAAAGGGGGTGTAGGGCTTGGGGGGATATTTTGGGGGAAGACGTCTCCAAGTGGTCTTTTTCCCCGCTCTTTGTTTAAAAACTTTGGTGGTGGCAGCATAATGTCCAAGGACAAGGCAAAATTTGTGCCTTGGGGAAGTTTTTAACCTAAGCTGGTAAGAATAAGCTTCCGGGGGGTCTTTCATGCGGGTCCCCCACATCTGTACCCTAGAGTTCAGAGTGGGGAAGGAACCTGGACAGTGGGTCAGAGATCTGAAAATCTGTCCGGACACCCTCTTCCCTAGCGCCCTACCCCCCTGGAGGGGAGCCGTGGCCACCATCCCATTCTTGGGGGCTCTCGCCTCTCTCTCCCGGGGCTGGCCCCGCTCTGCACGGGCGGGGAAGGGGGGTACCAGGCGGTTAGACCTGCTTGAGCCACACGGGCGAGGGGCACAGCAGAGGGCCGGGGCAGCGGCCAGGCTGGCTGGGAGAAGAGGCTCCCTTCCGGCCTTAGCAGCCCCGGACACCCGGGGCGGGGGCTGCGCAGAGCCCGGGACCCGGCCCGGCCCCCAGGGTCTCTCTCACCTGGAGTCTCCGCTCAGCAGCAGCGCCCGGGGGTCTCTCGCCGGAGGAGGCGCCCCCGGCCGGGCCCCCCGCCCCGAGCCCGCTGGGGAAGCGGCAGCGCCCGGGCTCCCAGGGGCTGCCCCCGGCGGGCCCCGGCGCTCTCGGCTCTTTGTTCTCCCCAACTCCCGCCTCCTTCCTCCCGGCCCCCACCGCTCCCGGCGGCCCCCGGAAGTGACGTTGGGCAGGGGGCGGGAGGGAGCGCTGCGGCTCTGCCCGGCTCGTGCTTGGCCGTTAGAGCCTCTCCCTGGGCCGCAGGAGCGTTTTGTGTCTCCCGGCTCTGGGCATGCGCAGATCGGGGAGGGAGGGAGGGGGGGAGAGTCGGGCATGCGCAGAGATCGAGCTCGCCCGCCCGCGGCTGCGCCGAAGGGTCTCTGCCGGGGAGACCTTCATCCACCCCCCCCCCCGGGCCCGCCCCGCTGCGGAGCTGCAGCCTCCAGGTACCGGAGCGAGCCCCGGGGCCGGGCGGTGACGCTGCCCCAGTGTCCGGGGGGGGGGGGACCAGCCCCCCGGGGTCCCTGCGTGGGGCCGGGCGGGGGGAGACCTGGGGAAAGGGGCGGAGGGAAAATGTCGGCGCAGCCCGGACATGGCCGGGGGGGGGGGGGAGAAGAGCCGGGGGGGGGGGGAGAAGAGCCGGGGCCCCCCGAGGGGCGGGGAGGGGAAAGGGGGGGGGGCTGAGATCCCCTCGGATTTACCGCTGCCCCCTCCCCTGGGGCCCCCCCCGCTCCCGCCCTGCCCCCTTTCGCTCCCGGCAGCAGCCCGGGTGATCCCCCCCTCCAGCCCCCACCTCCCTGAGACGGGCTCTGCCCCCCCCCCGGACCCCGTTTCCTCCCCACTTCGCCCGTGGCCAGTTCAAATCTCCGCCTTGGGGGGGGGGTGTCCCCCCCATTTTACCTGCAGTGACTTGTCCCGGTTTAGGGGGGAATCGTTCCCCGGAGTGATTTCTGAAACGGGCAGAGGGGGGCAGAGCCCCGGGACAGGGACACCGCTGGGCTGGGCTGGGGGGGCCCAGGAAGGGGAGGGAGGAGCAAGTGCCCCCCCCCCCCCCATGGAGACAGCCCAGTCCTCGGTTTCCCAGTCCCAGCTACTTCCCCGCCCCCACCCTGCCCAACCCAGCAGCCCCCCGACCCCCCCAAGACACCACCGGCTAGTCACATTCCCAGACCCCACTGCCAGCCCCTCCCCACAGCCAGTGACCTTCTGACTCCAGCCCCACTCCTTTCCCCTGTGAAAGCCACATCACCCAGGGCTCCCTGCCGGCCATGTGAGTGTGAGGCAAGAAGAATCCATCCCACTCTGTTGTTGATTGATTGAATATCACTGTATAATCCCCTCAAGATTTCCCCTCCTTTCTCTTGAACTGTTGACATAAAATCTCCCCAGATGTTGGTGCTTCTCTCTTATATTGGCAAATGTTTCGTTTGTGCCCCATTTTCTCCTCGGTTCTGAAATAGTGATATCAAAGTCTTGAAAATCTTCCCGCTTTTCTCTCCAGGTGCCTGACTGAGATCAGGGCTCTTATCATACTGAGCGTGGCTCAGGCCTTGACTGATATTATGTGCCCCAGTGTGCCAGGCACTGCACAAACCCTAACCAAATTTGGGGCACTGGTTATGCTAGGAACTGCACAGACCCGCTCAGAGAGCAGGGACCTTGTTGTGCCAAGGGCTACAGTGACCATGACTGAACTCTGGGCCCCTGTTGTGCCAGGCTCTGCAAAGACACCAAGTGAAATCAGGCTCCCATTGTGCCAGGTGCTGCAGAGATGGTAAACAAAATCAGGGACCTTGTTCTTCCTGGAGCTGCAGAGACCCCAACTGAGATCTGGGTCCCTGTTCTGCCAGGTGCTGCAGAGACCCCAACAGAGGTCAGACCCCACTGTTGTGACAGGTGCTGTGGACACCCCAACTGACATCAGGCCCCACATTGTGCCAGGTAAAACTGAGACCTGGACTGAGATCATGGCCTCCCCTTGTGCCAGGCAGCGCACGACTGCTGCCCAGATTGCTGCCTCCATTGTGCTGAGCACTTCAGAGACCTTGACTGAGATCTGTGTCCCTGTTGGGCCTGGCACTCCACTGAGAGTCCTTGCCACAGAGATCCTGCCCCCACATTTTGCCAGATGCTGCAGGGACCCCAGACTAAATCAGGGATATTGTAATGCCGGAAATTGCAGAGCCCCCAACTGACATCAGGCCCCCCGCTGTGTAGCACTCTGCACAGATACTGACCAAGATCAGGGTCCCCATTGTGACAGGGGCTGAACAGACACCAAGGGTATGTCTACACTGCCATTAAAAACACACAGCTGGCCCATGTCAGCTGACTCAGGCTCGCAGGGCTCAGACGAAGGGGCTGTTTAATTACGGTGTAGATGTCTGGGCCCGGCTGGAGCCAGGCTGTAGGACCCTGCGAGGTGGGTGGGTGCCAGACCTTGGGCTGCAGCCCAAGCCGGAACATCTATACCACAATTAAACAGCCCCACAGCCTGAGCCGTGTGAGCCCAAGTCAATGGGCACGGGCCAGTTGCAGGTGTCTAACTGCAGTGTAGACATGCCCACAGTGACAGAGAGTCCTTGCCACAAAAAGCTCAAAGGCTAAATCGGTAAATGGTGGGCACCTACTCTCCATTTTATAGGTGGGCAAACTGAAGCTCAAAGAGCTGAAGTAATCTGCTCAAGTTTGCATGGAGAATTTGGGACAAAACTGGGAATGGAACACAGATTGTTTCAATTCTTGCCTCTCTCCTTAACCGCAAGCCCAGCGTATGTGTGTGTACAGTGTTGTTTTGGCCTGAGTGTTTGCATTGCATTGGCTTCCAAGGGAGGTTGTGGAATTTCCTTCATTGCATGTTTTGAAGACCAGGTTAGAGGTACACCAGTCTGGGAATGTCTAGGGATACTTGGTCCTGCCTCATCACAGGAGGCTTCAGTAGATGACCTCTCAAGATCCCTTCCATGCCTACATTGAAATAATTCTCTTTTGTGCTGTGTCGTCTTCTACACTGAGCTGTTTTCCATGTTGCCATTTGGAACTGTGAACGCACCATGCTGTGTTGCATAGTTTTATGGTGCATTGTTTTGCCTCAACTTGTTTGGTGCCTCTGTTTTGTTGGTTTGAGTTGAGCTCTTTTCCATTGTGTACTTTTGTCCTAGGGTGTGTTAGTTTGCATTGTGTTGCTTTCTTCTTTCTTCTTCTTGCTTTCTATTGTGTCATTTTATGCTGTGGAGTATAGGATTTTTTTTTTTGTTTTTCTGAATTGCCTGACATGACGTTGTGGTGGGTTTTTTTTTTCCTGTATGTAGTGATTTTGTACCTACCATAGAATCATAGAATATCAGGGTTGGAAGGGACCTCAGGAGGTCATCTAGTCCAACCCCCTGCTCAAAGCAGGACCGATCCCCAATTAAATCATCCCAGCCAGGGCTTTGTCAAGCCTGACCTTAAAAATATCTGAGGAAGGAGATTCCACCACCTCCCTAGCTAACGCATTCCAGTCTTTCACCACCCTCCTAGTGAAAAAGTTTTTCCTAATATCCAACCTAAATCTCCCCCACTGCAACTTGAGACCATTGCTCCTTGTTCTGTCATCTTCTACCACTGAGAACAGTCTAAAGCCATCCTCTTTGGAACCCCCTTTCAGGTAGTTGAAAGCAGCTATCAAATCCCCACTCATTCTTCTCTTCCGTAGACTAAACATCCCAGTTCCCTCAGCCTCTCCTCATAACTCATGTGTTCCAGACCCCTAATCATTTTTGTTGCCCTTCGCTGGACTCTCTCCAATTTTTCCACATCCTCCTTGTAGTGTGGGGCCCAAAACTGGACACAGTACTCCAGATGAGGCCTCACCAGTGTCGAATAGAGGGGAACGATCACATCCCTCGATCTGCTGGCAATGCCCCTACTTATACACCCCAAAATGCCATTGGCCTTCTTGGCAACAAGGGCACACTGTTGACTCATATCCAGCTTCTCGTCCACTTTCTGCAGAACTGCTGCCGAGCCATTCGGTCCCTAGTCTGTAACGGTGCATTGGATTCTTCCATCCTAAGTGCAGGACTCTGCACTTGTCCTTGTTGAACCTCCTCAGATTTCTTTTGTCCCAATCCTCCAATTTGTCTAGGGCCCTCTGTATCCTATCCCTACCCTCCAGCTTATCTACCTCTCCTCCCAGTTCAGTGTTATCTGCAAACTTGCTGAGGATGCAGTCCACACCATCCTCCAGATCATTTATGAAGCTATTGAACATAACTGGCCCGAGGACCGACCCTTGGGGCGCTCCACTTGATACCAGCTGCCAACTAGTCATGGAGCCATTGATCACTATCCGTTGAGCCCGACGATCTAGCCAGCTTTCTATCCACCTTATAGCCCATTCATCCAGCCCATACTTCTTTAACTTGCTGACAAGAATACTGTGGGAGACCGTGTCAAAAGCTTTGCTAAAGTCAAGGAACAACACGTCCACTGCTTTCCCTTCACCCACAGAACCAGTTATCTCATCATAGAAGGCAATTAAGTTAGTCAGGCATGACTTGCCCTTGGTGAATCCGTGCTGACTGTTCCTGATCACTTTCCTCTCCTCTAAATGCTTCAGAATGGATTCCCTGAGGACATGCTCCATGATTTTTCCAGAGACTGAGTTGAGGCTGACTGGCCTGTAGCTCCCAGAATCCTCCTCCTTCCGTTTTTTAAAGGTGGACACTACATTAGCCTTTTTCTAGTCGTCCAGGACTTCCCCCGATCGCCATGAGTTTTCAAAGATAATGGCCAATGGCTCTGCAATCACATCCGCCAGCTCCTTTAGCACTCTCGGATGCAACGCATCCGTCCCATGGACTTGTGCACATGCAGTTTTTCTAAATAGTCCCGAACCACTTCTTTCTCCACAGAGGGCTGGTCACCTCCTCCCCATGCTGTGCTGCCCAGTGCAGTAGTCTGGGAGCTGACCTTGTTCGTGAAGACAGAGGCAAAAAAAGCCTTGAGTACATTAGCTTTTTCCACATCCTCTGTCACTAGCTTGCCTCCCTCATTCAGTAAGAGGCCCACACTTTCCTTGATTTTCTTCTTGTTGCTAACATACCTAAAGAAACCCTTCTTGGTACTCTTAACATCTCTTGCTAGCTGCAACTCCAGGTGTGATTTGGCCTTCCTGATTTCACTCCT